TGTCTAAACTGTTTGTAACTTCAGTTCATTTTTGACCTCTGACGAACGCAGAACCTTCCATTTGCTAAATTCCAAGAGCGTTCTTTCAGAAGATGGCACTGCTCTTTCAGAAATCCTCTTGCAATTACAGTACTGTACTTAAAAATGTGATAGCTGAAAGAATCTGAATCTGAAGTTGACCACATATTGTTGCTTACTGATTTATGTTCAGATGGCACAGATCTTAATGCACGTTTTTCATCCATGCCGCAAAACGCCTTCAACACATTCGCTTTTGTACCACTAGCTCACAGGTAGCAAATGAACAACGTCTTCGTCAGAATGAATTTTCAGTTAATTCAGCGCTTATGCATTGCTCTAAATTCCTAGTGGAGCACTGACGCTGTGTCGAGCTCTTGTGATTATGACTTCACTCACTACACGGTGAACCATCTTTCCGTCAAAATGAAAGACGTCCATGTTTGATCCTAGTCTTTAATTAGAATGGTCATCTCCACACTATATGGTAGCATTAGGGCAAGGAAGAAAAAAATTTTTATTAATAATGCTGCTGCGTTATCTGCCTAGGTTTTCCTTATTTTCTTTTACCATAATGTAAAGGTCAGTACGAATATTTAAAATTTGAATGATCTTTGAATTCAAACGTCATACCTGTGTGCAGACGAATAATCCGCTCTGAAGATTTAGGCTTCTAAATTGAGCGAGTGGTTACTGAATATAACATCCCATCTGAACACTTTACATAGCTTTTCTGGCGTTTCAAATCTTTGCAGGTTCTGATGACTAGTCATTAATGAACGAAATGTTCAGCAAAAGCCGCTGTGTGTCGTGCCATATTTAAAATATTAATTGTAAGGCATACGATTTGCTGCACACGCTTGAAACTTTGAACGAAAGATAACGCTGCGCGATTTATACTCCAATAAAGTAAAGATTTGCATAGGTGGCAAATTATTAATTTGTCGTTTAATACTGTCAGGAATTAGTTTCAAGTCAGCTGAAGTTCAGTTAATGTTTAATTTTTCAAAAAGTCTGATAATCTAATGAAGCATGATATAAAACTGTTATCCACTTGAAACTGGATCACTCGAGTGGTTAAAGCTGCACGACGAAACGTTCGATGGCAGCTTGTGGATTAACATGTTCGCTCAGTGGTTGTGCACCATTGCTTAATGATGTATGGTCATTTTCTGAGAATCAGGTACGGCGATATAGTTGCTTTGCACGTTCTGATGATCACCGTTAGCCAGTAAAGTGAACAGTCTTTTATTACATTATTCGCTTTTTAGCTCGACGATCAAATGCTTCTACTTCAGTCCGTCTGGGCAGAGCTCCATGTCCTTGACTTTACTTACCAGCGCGTGCGGAACAATTTGCCAGATATGATTTTGATGGACAATGGTCTAAAGTAATTACTGATGAAAGTTTAGACCGTTTAGAAAATGCATTAGCAGTCACTCACAATAAGGACATATGAATGATATTTATACGCTTTTTGAACCTCCAACAGAAAACCAGTAATGCTAAAAACTACACATTTTCTGTGTTTTCTAATACAAGCTTTGATGTGATGAACCGTGTGATAAAATTATTAAAGTAACGCTTAAAAGGTGACTGCGATTTCGCATTTAAGTTCTCACGGATGATGAACACGGTTATTAACAGCCTGCAGATTGCATGTAAAGCCTTGAAAAACTGGTTATCATGTAATATGATGCACATAGCAAGAATAACGAAAACAACCGATGCAAAGAGAAAAAAATAAGCTACAATTAGAAACTTGAAATAGACGTCAGTGTGACTAAGATCAGTATAAAACACATGTTTAGACTGAAAGTTGCGTCGGTAGCATTACTGGCATTAGCGGAGGGAAGTAACGAATGGGAACGTCTGTGCGGCCAAATGTTGGCGATTAGCTTCGACCGCTACGATTACGTCGCAATGAAGTACCTCATGCTTTTGAATCCAGGTAAGAATTGTAATGAACGCCTTATGCTCAGTCCTATTCTTAGAAAGTATAGGCTACTCGAAGCTTCAAAACAAGCGACTGGTTTCTGAAGGCCGCGAAAAGGTCAAGGCTGCGTGGTTAGAATACAGGCGGCATATTTTTGCCGATGCCAGCCATCACGATACTCCTCTACCTTTCCAGAACTGTATAGAAAGAACGAGGTAAGGCTGAAAGCTTTCAGGATCACGCTTAATTGCATTTCGTATAAAACAGGCTGTTAGGCTACTTTTAAAAGTATCTCAAAAGTCGTTTTTAGAATAACGGTCTTATTCACGACAATTTGCCAACTACGGCCTTAAATTGACATAGAATTTATGCACAGGCATCAGTTTTCTGGCAAATAAAAAATTCCACCTGTTGACGAACAAATGCAGCATAACCTCATATCCTCTAACGATTGAACAAAAGATAACAAGCCTATCTCAATTTTAGGGCTGAAAGAGATCGATTAGGTAGCATTAAACAAAAAGTAGTACAAAAACCTTTAAATGTGAACAAGATTATGTCAGAAATGTCTCAGGTGAAAACTAAGAGTTTATTTTACGGTCGATCCATTTCATTCTGCTACATGTACTATAATGATCAGAACCCAAACAACATACAACTCAACGTTTCAGTTCATCCGGTCGTAGTGATGTCACCCATGGTTTTAACGACACCTGTTGTCCTATGAAATTAAAATTTTGCCTGAACATTTCATTATGCTTAATTGGTGATTTAAGTCATACATCAAAAAGTAGTCTTTCAGCAGCGTGCTGAACATCAGAGAAAATTCCAGTAACAAGCTTGGTGTGCAGAAAGTTGTATTAACAGTTAGCTTCATGGAAGAAAATTTGTTCTAATCATGTTTTTCTATTGTGATTCTTTACTTAAGTGTACAGTAGAAAATTTGAGTAATGGTCGCTTCATTTGTAATGAACTTTTACCCATGCAGAAAGCAACGCAAATAATTTGGATAATTTAAACCGTTCAACAATCCAGGTTGCATGTTTGGCCAAATCAGACTGTTAGCTCAAACTTATCAGGTTAGAAAACCAGGGTTCCGCTTTATAAGTAAACAACGAAACGGATGGATTTCCGTGAATAGTTAAGAGAACTTGTCATTTATGATCTATCCAAGTTCAAGGTAAGGTATGTAAGGCAAACAAAAAATTCATAGCAGCTGAAAAATACACCAGCACTGAAAGATTATGGTGTGAAATGTTTCTTAGGCTTGAAGCTTATAACTTTTTAAATTCATAGATTGATGACTCCACGTTTTCCTTATTTTGTATTTCTGAAAATCACGCTAAGTAAATAATTATCAATAATATACAAATAAGCTTCATGTCAATAAGTCTCACACAGTCGTTTGGTGCCATAAGCATAAATTTGGATTCACTAGCGACCTTTCTTCCTTAATGAGAATTAAGGCCACTTTCGGCTGTTTAATATGCAATCTATCGAGGCGAAGAGTAATATATGTGAGGCCTTCCTCAGAGTCTTCTTTAACAAGGTTTCTGGAGTCCATTTGTCTGGAGCATGATGGCCGCTCTGTTTCCTTTCTATGAAAGGCCGCATTGAAAATTTAGCCATTGATAGTTTTAAATTCATAATTATTGTGCAACCAAACTTCCACAAACAGACTTAACAGAACAAACCAAACTGTACTGTTGGTCCATGCTTCTTTAATAAGTGTGTTTGTATCATCGTTTTTGTTTCATGAAGCTTGTAATAATGAGCTAATCTGTGTCATGAAGTCATTTGGCAAGAAGTTTTTATTCTATGTAGGCAACGGGGCAGTTCAGCGATTACCAGGAAATGTCAATTTCATCTGAAATTGATACGGATTAAGTGTCAATATTTTAAATTAAAATTCATGATAAAGGGTCTTTCGATATGCGGTTAAGGGTACAAAAGCTGACTAAAAAGTTTTATTTTACATTGAAGTTTTGGACCACGCTTCCAACATTAATGTACGAAAAATGAAATAAGATTTTATCATATAATCCTTGTGCCTTTAACCATCGTATTTAGTAGTACTCATTTTTTTTTTACTCTCGAAGGATGAAAGCAGAGTTTCTTGGTTTTTCCCACCTTTAGACTCTACCTCACTTGAATTGCATCGATTATGGATGAAAAGTCTTCTCATTATTTGTTATGCTCATCATCATTAGTAGAAAAGCCAGAAAGCTGAGGTTTCATAGGGCATTAACGATGTCCATTATCGATTAGCGTAGCGGCACTGTATATACATCAGTGAACCTGAAAGTACAGAGATATAAGTGGCTCCATTGTGCCCATGTTTGGACGCTCAAGTTCAGTTTAGAACGAATGACATCTTTTCAGACATACAAATACGTTTAATTGTAATTAAAGCAGCATTTAATTGAAA